ACCACGCCCGGCTGATTTTTGGATTTATTGTAGAGATGAGGTCTCGCTGCCCAGGCGGGTCTCGAACCCGCGGGCTCAGGCAATCCACTCACCTCAGCCTCCCAAAGGCACGGGCTTACAGGCTGAGCCACCGAGCCCGGCTGTCCTTTTCTTAAAAACAGTTCTCCAGGGACGTCTGCTGCTCTGGAGGCTCTATGTTGTTAATGTCTGATGAAAGCTTAAAGAGGAATTCAGTGGCTCCACTTTGGAATGAGACAGGTCACAGAAGGGCATGCCGGCATGGTTCTCTGAGGACTCCTATCATCTGACTTTAGAGATAAGACACAGGGCACACCCAGGTCCTGCCAGGCACAGGGCTAACATGAAATAAAACATACCCAGATTCAGATGCTGGCCTTTGCTACCAGGTCCTATCAGATCCTGTTGGCTGGGGAGACTCATTTCATGTATGTGTGATCTGGGAATGTATTTGAGACTGCTTGTGAGCTTTTGTGTGGGTCCTATGTGAGCAGACTTGAAAATGACCTAAGAGCAGGCTAAGATTCATTTCTACTGTGTCAGTGTTCATGTGAGGAAAGGGGGCGGGGTCAGAGTGCTTCAGAAACACAGCAGGCTGTTTTTTGCTCTTTAAAAAAATGTATTGCTTTTGCCAAACACAAAGGCTGCCTTAGCTTCCTGCCCCTTTATCAGCTGTGTGAGTGCTCTCCCTGGTTTCCTGCCACAGCTGCAACATCTGCCAGCAGAGGAAGGGAAAGGGGAAGTGGCCTGTCTGCAGACAATGCTGACTGGGACAGTGGGAGAAGGACCACGGCCAGTGGTGTTGAGACCAGCCCTGAGAAAGCCGCATCAGTGCCATGTCATCAGGCCAAGGGCTGTCCTGACAGCTCACGAGAGCTTAGGTAGGGCCTGGCTGGGAGAGTGGCTGGCTCGGGCTCCGCCCCTTCCCACCTTGGTAAGACTTTGCCCAGTCTTCCTGTGCATCTCAGTGGATTTCACTGGACCTTGATTCTTTTGAACTTTTATTTTAGACTGTTAGATTGTTACCAAGCAAAAGAGAAGCAGGAAGGAATGAAATAGAATAGTGTGTGTGCTGGCTCTACTGACTGTGACGGTGTGCCCTGGAAGGAGGAAGAAAGTTGTGCATCTCACAGAAGAGTCAGTGTGAGTGAGTGCAGAGCGGAATTTGGGATTTTCACGCAACAGCCAGGTTCCTGACTATTCCAAGCTGAGAGGTAGGTAGTGTGTCTATCTGAAGAAGCTAGATACATATTTGAAAGCAACACAAAGCCCCAAAAGTCTCTTATTTTGGCCAGTAAAATGCCTTTAGATACCTTTTGAGAGAAGGCAAAGTGAGATGTTCTTATTACAGATTAAGCACTGACAAGTGCTATTAGATTGATTTTTATTTTATTTTATTTTTTGAGTTGGAGTCTTACTGTCACCCAGGCTGGAGGGCAGTGGCAGGCTCCTGGCCACCGCAGGCTCGACCAGCTGGGCTCAGGCGATCCTTCCCCCTTAGGCTTCCAAGCAGCTGGAACTACAGGCATGCGCCACTACACCCGGCTAATTTTTTTTTTTTATTGTAGAGATGAGGTCTCACCAAGTGGCCCAGGCTAGTTTTGAACCCGTGGGCTCAGGCTATCTATCCTTTTACCTCAGCCTCCCAAAGTGCTGGGATTATAGGAGTGAGCCACCATGCCCAGCCTAGATTGATTTTTAAATGAAGGTCTTTGAAGAGGCCTACTTTTACTTATGGCCTTCGTGAAAGGAAGAGGCTGTGTTTGAGCGCTTTGCCTCCCTGCTTTCCACCTCTGCACCTTCAGACGCTGTAACAGCTGTGGGGAGTCATGCACAGGAGCCCTGCCAGGCTGCCACTTCCTTGTGTGGCCTGAGGCAAATTCACAGCTCCTGTAAGATGACAGTAATAACAGTATCCATCTCACAGGGCTCTGATGGAATGAGAAAAACTGATGTGCCAACTGCTTCAACACAGTATCCAGCCCACGGTCAACGTTCAGTAAAATGCTGGTGCGATCATAAGTAACAAAGAAGGCTGGCACATGGGATTTCTGCCTCCCAAACTCTAAAAACCCTAGTGCAAAAGAACATCAGGAGAGCCAAGGCAGAGGCCTTATGAGGACGGGGTGGCAAAGGGCTCACATGATGCACACTGGAAAGCACTCCCTGCTGAAAACCTGTCAGTGGGCCCTGTCCACAGAGACCCTCTGCCTACTCATGGCTCAGGGATCTTCCTTCTCGGGGCACGTCGGCAATGTCTGGAAACATTCTGGGTTGTCACGAGGGAAGGAGGACGACACTGGCATCTAGTGACGCCACGGATGCTGCGAGACATCCTGTAATACACAGGACTGCCCCCCGCAACCAGGAATTATGTGGCCAATAAGGCAGAAGTGCCAAGGCTACGAAACCCCGCTTGATGTCTTGCTTGATACGCCTCCTGGGCACATAGCTGCTCACCATGCTGGCAAGGAAAGTGCCCCCTCGCCACTTCTCATGCCTGCCCAGCTTTGCTGATGCACAAGGATTCCAGCAGACATCCCACCTGACTTCAAACACACCCTGAGGTGTAACAGAGGGGGGCTCGTGGCACTTGGCTAGACAGAGTTATGGGAAATAAAGAGCAGTCCAAGGCTATAACCTAGCACTCTCCTAGCTCCCCCTCCATGTCATCTCACCACTGGTCTGCCCCAAAAGACGAGGAGCGCAACTCCTTGGTACCCAGGATCTGAGTTTCACACTTTCCTGAGCTGGGAGCCCATCCTATGAGCGGGCTCGAGCTTGGTTTGCACACCACTGCCATGCAGCCTCCTCTTATCGGCTCACTTCTTCAGCCTCTCCTGAGAGTAGACTGTCCTCGAATCCTTTTGATCAGTACAATCCTTTCCTGAAAACAGTCCTTCCCCAAAGCAGAACACAAAGCAGATACGCAGAGGAGTTAAACCTGAGCTGAGTATGGTGGAATCCCTCAGGATGCCCACCAAATACTCCAGCCACAAACCAAGGACTGCTGTATTAAATCCAGGATTCCCACCAGAAAAATGCAACAGCCCAAGGAAAAGGGTTGTTCTTGCATCGCTCTAGTGATGGCAACTGCCCCACTGTGGGTGTGCAGGGGCAGCAATGGAGGAGCTGGCTGGCAGTGGGAATGGGCAGGGGCTCTTGCCACACTGGCCCGTACCAGGGATGCTGGGGTGGCTGGGCCTGCTTCTGGGTGGGATGACGCTCGCAAAACTCAAAACCTGAAGCATCTCACCTGGGGTGTTATCCAACAGGCACTGAAGAAGCAGCTCCCCCTTCTGTAAGACACTCTCCGTCAGAGACTGATGTTCATCAATATCTTTCTTAAATTGCTTGAAGCATATTTAAAAAAAAAAGCTTCGTTACTTTTGTTTTGTAAAAGTTCTCCAAATGAACACCATACAGGGTAGCTTGATTCTCATCTACTGTGAAAGTTTCACCCCACCCATTCTGCAGAATTCCCCAAGTAAACATGCAAAAGTTCAGCTTCTCTGAGCCCAAGGTAAACAGAGGCAATCGTTTTTCCTGTTTAGTTTGGCATCAGAAGAGTTTTCCTTTCCCTGGCAGAGGCTGGCTCTTGAACAGCTTTGGAGCCAGGGTTTCCTTCCAGTGTCCTCACCTCATGGGGTTCTTGAACTCACAGGGGTGTGGGAGTGTCAACATAAACTGTATTTCATTCATCCAGGACTTGGTAATCGGAGCCACAGAATCTGCCATTAAACTGACTACAAGATACACTACCTCACAGCTCCGCCCTGTCTTCTGTGCAGACCTGCAGGGCAATCACCTCAACCCCGGGGAAGCTGAGTCTCCCAGCAACTCATCAGTTTCTCATGGCTACTGAACCTTGTAGCTGACTGTTTTTGAAGTTCCTTTAGCGGCTAAGAAGTGTAAAGTCAAATTCATTGCCACCTTTAGTCTAGGGTGCAGAACTGGGTGGTCTACATTTTGAAGCGGTAGTTTTAGATGTACTATTTTCCTGTCTTCAGTTTCTCTTTGCTCTGATAGCTATACTTATTTTATTCTCTGGTACTCTGTGATTTATGTGTTGCCTCAACCTCACTGTGTTATTAACACACTGCTACTGTACTTCATTATAAAGTACAGATATATGAGAAAATGAGCCGCCATTAAAATAACATGCACGTGCGTGCACACTAAGTCTTGATCTGAGCAGGAGTCAAGGTAGCTCACATGTACGTGTAAGCCATGCACCATTCTGTGTGGGGAAGGGGACAACAGTATGGCCCCACTCTGTGATACAGCCCTATGGGTGACACAAGAGGCTTAGGCCTCACTGACCTCCAGAGGCTAGCTCCCAGCCTGGATCCCAGTTCGACCCACAAAGCAAGATGACTGTTTCTGGCTATCCTGGAAGTTGAGGCACAGGAGAATGGCAGGAGGGATAAGATGGGGAAATGGAGTTATTCTATTTGCACCTGCTCTGGCAAGCTGGGGGAGGCCACCGGAGTAAGTCTAACAGGGCAATCTCCTCTCCCTGCAGTGGTCCTGGCCCTGGGCCTCCGGAGGGGTGGGCCCTGCACAGCCGCGTGCTCGCATGCAGGGTCTGCACTCACGCCCCCCAGCCTTCCTCAAGCTCACTCTAGGGCAAGGAACTCAAAGCAGCCTCTACATTACAGGAAACATCATTCCCACTAGAGTGGAACAGCTGGCCCAGCCCACCCAGGCTCCAAGTTAGAAAACAACTTCCCCTCCAGCCGGGGTGTGGTCCCTGCCAGGTCCAGCCAGCTTGGCCCTGACTCATGCACAAGTAAATCACGCCCTCTTCTGCTCAAGATCTGGTCAGATCACAAGGTGGTAGAAATTCAAAGACCTGTCCTAGAAAACCCCTTCTTGGCCATTGTTTTGCTGAGCCATGGTCACCACGTTTCCTTGCCTTGGCCCCTTCCCCTACCTTGAGGAGGTCAATCTCCCCTTTCTCTCTAATTTACTTCTTAAATAAACTATATTTTCCAATCTAACTTCTGTGCAGTTCTTTGCATTTTTCATGCGGCATCGGATTGCACAACCCCACCCCCGTGGGTCTGACCTAATATTTTGGAGGCCCCTTTGGGAAGTACATACATATATTGTGACCTAACATAACTTATTCAGCAGACAATATCCTGGTGTAAGATTAGTAAGTCTACTAAAAGCTTTTTAGAGAAGAAGATGGTCAAAATCGTACTCCATATGCTGCATACCTTTTCCTAACTGACTGAAATCCCCCAAATACCAGTTTCCTAATGGCCTTTTATATTTCTTCTCCAAAGCACTATCATCTTCTAATATAATGCGCAATTAAATATTGTTTTTATCTGTTTCTCCTAGCTAGTTTATGTGCCCCCAAGCTGGAGTGCAGTGTCAGATATAATCACAAGTGTTGTGGATTTTAATCTTAATTTTTAGTAAAAAATAATTTAATCATAATACAGATAATCTGAAGCTGTTCATAACAAATAATATTTTAGTCTTCACACACACACACATGGAAAACCCCTTCCAGACTAGCATTAGGTTCAGACCACGAATACTGCCTGTGTTCCTTCATGAGGAACTTAGAAAGGCTTGGCCGGCCAGACACACCAGAAGTCAGTCAGTCAGTCAGTCAGTTCAGCCAAGGTTAATGTTATACTTAGGGAAAACAACTATATAATTTATCCTCCAATTCAGGACACTTGTGAGAATCCATTATTATGCCAGAATAGGCATAAACTGGGAATGTGGTTCCCCTAAATATAAAATACAGAACCAAGTTAAAAGAAATCCAAAGAGGTGTTTTTAAAATAACAAAACCTTAATTAATAAATAAAGAGGCAGCAAAAAACCCAAAACCGAACCTCCACTCCCCAAGCAAACTGATACTAGATTTTCGTTAAAATGCCATCAAATGTCCGGTTATATATGCTGGCGTCAGTACAATCTCCGCTCAGATCCCTACACAGCACTGCAGTCCAGCAGAATGTTCTGTGATGATGGAAGTGTTCTATATCTGCACTGTTCAACATGGGAGCCACCAGACCAATGTGGTTGCCCACTAGGAGTATGACAAGTGCAACTGACAACTCTGAATCTTTAATTTTATTTCATGTAAATAGCCATATGTAACCAGCAGCTCCCTAACAGTGCATGTCTGTGCTTATAATCCCCGAGACATCTGGAAAATTGTATTGCAAATCACACTAGAGCACTTTTCTTTTTCTTCTTTTGTGAGAGGGTTCTCACTATGTTGCTCAGGCTGGTCTCAAACTCCTGGGCTCAAGTGATCATCCCACCTCAGCCTCCCGAGTAGCTGGGGTTACAGGCTTGCACCACTCTATCCGGTAACCTAATGTATTTTTGATTCAAGATAAATAAAATGTAGTTTCTCCAAATGCTATTTGGCCTGGGAAATAACTCATGCATCTTACAAAGTTTTCAGCATTAGGAACCTGAGGCCAGCGTGGCAGCTCACGCCTGTAATCCCAGCACTTTGGGAGGCCAAGATAGGAGGACTGCTTTAGACCAGGAGTTTGAGACCAGCCTGGGCAAGACCACTTTTCTACAAAAACAAAAGCAACTAGCCAGGTGTGGTGGAGAATACCTGTAGCTACGACCTGGAGGACTGAGACAAAAAGATCCCTTGAGCCCACGAGATCAGGGCTGTAGTGAGTTATGACTGTGCCACTGCACTCCAGCGTGGAAAACAGGAAAACCCTGTCTCCAAAAAAACCAATTTTTTGAAAAGGGCCCCTGACTGGATTTCAGGTATAACAGTCAACTGGGCTACAACACATCAGGCGTCAGTCATTTGAGATTATACTTTGTAATCAAGTAGCTCAGCCACCACTCATGTGTGAACAAGCCAGAGCCAGGACCACATATTACCCGGTAAAGCTGCAGCGAAGACTTGAGAGCTGTAAGACTGGACCTGGGTGGAGAGCTGTGGTCTGTAACATCTGCAACATTATACAGCCAGCGGATCAGCTCCTCCAGCTGACAGCAAAATGTCTGCAGAGACAAATGAAAGAATACATGGTGATACTGACTAAACTGCTGCTGACGTTATCAAAAGGCCATCAAGAAGAGGGACAGGCACAGTAGCTCATGCTGGTAATTCCAGCACTTTGGGAGACCCCAGGCAAGAGGACTGCCTGAGCCCAGGGGTTCAAGACCAGCCTGGACAACTTGGCAAGACCTCGTCTCTACAATAAATAAAAAAATTAGCTGGGCATGGTGGTACACACCTGTAGTTCTAGCTACTTGGAAGACAGGGCCAGCAGGTCAAGGCTGTGGTGGCCGTGAGCCTGCTGCTGAACTCCAGCCTGGGCAAGAGTATGACTCCAACTCAGAAAAAGACAAAACAACAAAAAAAAGTCAAGAGGACTCGGAGATGGATGATGCACCTTTCCAGATCTTTCAGTCACTGGAGCATTAGTTTCCTCTCTCTTCCTTTCCCACCTACCTCCATGCACAACTCTGGACCTCACTCCACCAGGGCAATGAAAAGCCCCCTTGGTTCCACCTACCCTCAGCCTGATGAGACACCAAAAATGACAGGCTGAGAAAACGGTCCTGTGGGTGGGAATGGAATGACCCAGAAGAGGTGAGTCTGTCATGAAAAACCACTCTTGGACAGCACCATTACCAACCAACCACCAAACCACTTCTGTAAAATACATGACTAAAATGACTGACCTGAACCCACAGCCAGAACCAGCATTACCTCATGGACTCTCAATCTTTAATCACAGAAGGGTGCATGACAACCTCCGTCCAACCTACTTCCTGGGACAAATAAAACAATCCATGTGACATCCTGGGAAGGTGAAGCCCTCCTGGAGCATGTGGGCTCACAGGCTATCTGCCACGCTACAGTGGTGACACGGCATCTAGGTGCTCACTGGGAGGCAGGGCAGTGGGATGCTGGGAGTGTGGGGAATGACACATTCCTGAATCTTCAGATTGAGTCTGGGGCTGCACGAAGCACTCAACATGAATTATTTAATCCATACAACATTCCAAAAGGCAGGCCCAAAAGGCATTTTACAAACAAGCAAACTGAAGAGATTGAGCCCAAATTCCAAAGACAGCAGTTCTATCTTTCAAATTCAGATGCCCAGGCTGAGTGCGGTAGCTCACGCCTGAAATCCCAGCACTTTGGGAGGCCAAAGTGGGAGGATCACTTGAGTGCAGGAGCTCAAGACCAGCCTGGGGCAACATAGCAATCATCTCTTAAAAAAAAAAAAAAAAAATTCAGGTGCTTGACCCTGACAATCCTATTCCACACAGTATTATTAATTATGCCTCCTGATATTAATGGGCAGTCCACAAAAGGAGGTTCGATGCCAAGAAGTCTAGGAAATGCTACACATAATGCCCCAACTCTGCAGTTACACCACTTTGGCAGATAAACTCTGAGAAGCCCTGCAGTCCAAAGAGCCACTCACCTTTCCTCTGCCCAGTGTTTCCTGAAGGTATCTGTGCACAGAACCCTTTTAGTTAAGATCTTGGCATTGGGAAGCAGGCAGAGGTAGTGCTCAAGAGTGTAGGCGCTGCCTAGGTCTGAATCCTTGCTCAACTCTTTGCTAACTCCAAGTGGGCGGGTGAGCTAACCTCTGCTTTTTTCCCCAAACAGTGAAATGAAAATAGTATCTATCTGGTAAGAGTCGTAAGGACTCAACAGGATAAGGTATAGCACAGTGCCTGGCACACAAAAAGTGCTCGATGTTAACTAGTTATATTACAATGTCAGTAGGTTGAGGAAGGACGCGACGCTTGCACACAAAGCCTCTTGAGTGCCATTACCTTCACGCACTGCACTAGGGATTCTTTTCCCTGCTCTCCTTCCTTCCTAGTAAGCTGCCCTTCAGCATCCAGGTGTGAGAATGGCCACCGGTCCAACATAGCTGGCAAGGAGGTATGTGTTTTCAGCAGTCCGGAGGAGGCCCCAAGGGCCTGGCTGCTCACCAGACTGCCTTCCCCTGCAGAGTCCTGGGCACGGACGAAGGAGTGCAGGCAACAGTGGTTCTGGACCTCAGCACCCCCAGCCCCTCGGAGGGCAGCTCCTGAGGGCAGCTGGCTTTGGCTGCCGTCTGATGGAAGGGAAGCAGGTCCGTCACTGTCTGACACGTTCAGGGAGCTCTGCCCTGTGGTAGCCCCTGTGGGCAGGGCAACTAAGGTGGGAATGGAACCTAGGTACGAAACCAAACTAGAAACCTGTGTCAGCCGGGTAGGCAGGGCCAGATACTCATCATCACTGTCCATCTCTTCTGATTTCCACCTGGACTCCAAGGAGGCAGGGCGCCGGACACTCTGGCTGGCCCTCTTCTCCGTCTCTGGCCTAGCAGAGGGCCACCCTCTGTCCTGTGTCCTCAGCTGGGGAGAGGCTGTCTCGAGATGCTTGCCCACAGGCAGCCAGTCTCTTGTACGCCTCAGGGCTGACTCTCTGCTCTCCCAAGGAGTGTCCCTACTGCCTGGGGTCTTGGGGGTAGATGCAAGCTGGCTCCAGGATGCCAAGCCCATGCTGCCCTGCTTCTGGGGTAGTTCAGAAGCACACTGCTTAATGCCTGGTTTTTTGGGGCCAGAAAATGGCAAGGCAGTGGCCTCAGCTGGTGGGCAGCCAGGCGAGACATTAGTAGGTGATTTGAGGGTGCTTGCTGGGGAGACAGAGAAGCTATCCAGGTCCACACCTGAGTCCTGCAGGACAGGGTCAGCCAGTATGTGGCTCTCCAGGTGCTTTGGGAGCTGAGGCCCGGGCCTCAGTGGGTAGGTATAGTCAAGCAGGTCTTCGTACTCTTTATTTGGGTTCCAGAGAGGGGAGTGGCGGTCGGGCGAAGGAGGCAGGGCATCCGGCAGCACGCAGGCCCAGTACTCGGCCTGGAAGGAGAGGCGCCTCCTGCCTGGCCCAGCAGCACCACCCCCAGAGGACACGGGCTGTGGTGACCACTGGGGCTGAAGCCCTAGCCCCACCATGGGGGGCAGTTCCTGGGGAACGGCCAGCTCCAGGGAGGAGGCGGCCTTGGCAAGGGAGCAACTTTGAGGCTCCTCCTTCTCTTGGTGACCCTGGAGACTGCTGCCCACGGAGGAGGCCGAGACGCTGCAGCTGGAAGGCTGAGGAGCAGCAGCATCTGGGTGCGCCACAAACTTCCACTGCGATGGGAAAGGGAAACCTGAGCTGGGAGGCTGTTGGCTGGGGTCCAGCGCCCGGGGCAAAGCGACTGGGGAGGGATCATCTTCGGTGTCAGCATCGTGTCCTGAGCACAGAGCTGTAGTCCTGGGCAGGCGGAGAGTCTGAGGCAGCTCCTCAGAGGCAGAGCGCCCGGCCTTCTCCATCTGCCAACAGTAAGAGGGAAGAGAAGGCACTCAGGAGAAGGGAATCAAGCCACATTTCTTCCCTGGATGACAACCCAGGAGCTTCCTTGTGGGCCCAGATGGCGTTCAAGAGAGATCTCAACACGGAAAGTCTGCAGCCCAAGGTGAGAACCAGACAGACAGTGTGCGCTGCTAGCACTGAGACCCAGCCTGCTCTGGAAGCAGAGCTGTCCTTCCCAAGCTGACCCCATCTCTAGGCCTCTCCCAAGTTCTCCCTCCACAGATACCCAATTTGTGAGTGAGCAGAACTCAGCCATGCTGCAGCTGGTATACACCGCCTAGGCTTTGGGAAGCGTGTCCTGGCAGACGAAACCTCATTCACCCTGTTGCTAACAGGAGACGTCCAGACCTGGCAGGCCCCACCAGGCCCCAGCCTGTTTGGCTCACGTGCCAGCTGTAACTGAACACTGACAGAATGCGTCATTCGTGCCAGCTTTTAAACTTTTCTTGGGAGGCCCAAGAAATTCTCCTTAACCAGGGACAGTGCTGCCTCCCACAGGGGCTCTCAATGAAGGACTCGCCCGAGGGAGGCAGGATATAGCGTGGTTAAGGGCATGGCCTTGGAACCACAGACCGTATGTCCACCCCTAGCTGCCACCCTTCCTGATGTATGACTTTGAGCTCACTTCCCCCGACACAATGGGGACAGCAACAGCACCACCTCTCAGGAGGTGAGGATGAAATGAGCTCATGTGTGAAAAGCATGTGGTAAGAGCTCTACAACAGCAGGCACTGTAATAATGAGCACCAGAACCACATTCATGAAGTGGCCCATTTCTGTGTTCACTGACTGCTTCCTGCCTCACCAAATCTGACTCACAGGTGCCAAAGCTTCCCCCTGCCCCTTGTGCCCAAGCAGGGAGGGCCAGCCTCTGCCCTCTTCTAGTCACGCTCAGAGCTCCTCACAGGATGCAGCTCCATGGGGGAGCCTACAGCAGCCAAGGCCACAAAGACAGTGAGATCAAAGCCATTTCCAGGAAAGGTCTCAGCAAGCAGGACATGAGAGGCCATCAGAACTAGAAGGAACAGACCACTCAGGTCACCCTCCAATTATAATGAGGGCCTGAAAGAATCAGTGATCTGCTATATTAATAGAACCCGGTAGGATTCTCTGTCCCATGTGACTCCCACATAGAAGATGCTGCCTGGCAGTAAGGGAGGCCCAAGAAATTCTCCTTAACCAGGGACAGTGCTGCCTCCCACAGGGGCTCCAAGTCTCTGACTGGTCCCCAGGTCTGAACGGGATTCAGTCTCAGAGCCCCAGGAGCTCAGAGCCTGGACTCTCCTCTCCCAAATCTCCTCAGGGCACCCCTAAAGTCTTCGGATCAGCAACTCAGATACAGCACAGGGCTTCTCTTGTCAAGGCTCCCCCGGCCTAGCCCTCTGGGCAGCAGGCTCTTGGCCACACAATCCCTAGTCCTCAAAAAGTCACCAGTCACTCTTGAGGAACAAGAGATGCCACGGCAGAGTCCCTGCTGGTCCTGAGGCCCAGCTCTCCAAGTGAACCTGTAAAATCACCATTCCCTGGTTTCCCCAATTCCCCACCCTGCACAGTGGGGAAAGATGCAAGGTGTGAGGAAATGCTGCAACAAATGCCCAAACAACGACAATGGGCCAGTCTGTTGTCCCTTTGCCCCTAGCACTGACCTGACATCCCCCAGAGTGTAAGAGGCCTCCAGTCCCCAGGCTGGCAGGAGGAAGCAGGCGACTGAGTGCAGGCCTAGACCCATCAGCTGCTGGCTCTCTGCTGGTGTCATTGCCTTGTGCCTGGCAGGCTCCAGAGGGGCCGCCAGGGTCAGCTGCAGCCCAGCAGGCAGGAGCAGGTAGTCCCTCTGCTCCCCACACAGGGGAGACGGGCCCTCCCTCAGTGTCCAGGCACAGAGGATGCTCCTGGCTCACGGGCCCTGGGGTGTCCACCTCTCGCTCCCTGCAGCGCCATCTCCCATGGGACTGGGCCTTCGTGTCCTCAGATGCTTCCACCTCTGCCTTTTCTTCACCCAGGGCCATTGAGACCCCCTAGGCTGGGACTCCTCTGAAGACTTCAGCTTCCTACAAAACGGGAAGGGGAGAAAAAAATGTAAACTTTCTTCATCTGTGTCCAGGAAACCTTGCTCTTTAACGATTAAGGCACACATTTTTTTTTTGGCTAAAGAGAAAAGGACACAAGGCCAGGTGCGGCGGCTCAAGTCTGTAATTACAGCACTTCGGGAGGCCGAGGCGAGAGGACTGCCTGAGCTCAGGGGTTCCGGGCCAGCCTGGGCAACTTGGTGAGACCTCGTCTCTACAATAAATCAAAAAATAAGCCAAGAGTGGTAGCACATGCCTGTAGTTCCAGCTACTTGGAAGGCTGAGGCAGAAGGATCATCTAAGCCCAGCTGGTTGATGCTGGGGTGGCTGTGAGTATGCCACTGCACTCCAGCCTGGGTGACAGAGTGAGACTGATTCAAAAAACAAAAGCAAAAAGGAAACAAATGTTGGCTACTTCCTCAGAGGAGCATTGAGGTTTGGCTTTTCCTTGGCCCCAGACCCTTCCAAAGGGGATGCAGAAGGGCCTCCTTTTGTCCTCTGCTTTTATACTGGATGGTACTGTCCTCACCAGCAGGCTCTCAGGAGAGTCAACGCAGGTCCAAATCAGGGTCAAGGCCTGGGTTCTGCCTAAGTCACCTTTTTGCTGTGTCCCTCTGGCCCAACCCCCAGTGGGTAAGAGGCCCAGTTGAACCCTTGCTGTGAGCAGCCCCACAGTAGTCCTATTGTCGAAATGGCCTTGTCAACAGGCAGCTTAAGCCTCTGACCATTCTACCCTAGAGAACAGCAAGTCAGGGCATGCCTGGGCCTTGGCTGGGCCAGGAAGGATGCTCCCCCAAGATGCTTGGCTCTGCTTGGTGGAGGCAGGACCCCTTCCAAGCACAGAAACCACACAGGAGGGGGCTTCCTGTTCCAAGGATGGTCAGTGGTCAAAGGGAGAGATCAGCAACTCTCCTCAGGCTAGTTCGGGGTTATGCGGAACCGTGACACAGCCTGTGTGATGAGAGGGCGAGAGCCAGGCAGGCATAGGGTGAGCACTCAGAGAGCAAAACAGACTTGGGAGCTGGATCTGCAGATAGGATCATCCCAATATAGAGTTCAGGACTACCTTGGCCTAGTGTGCCAGCAGGAGCTGCTGCTGGGAGCACTGGCAGGCTGAGACAGAAGGACCGAAGCTGGGAGGATGTGGAAGGGGAGGTGAGGGAACAACGAGTGCCCAGGTTATCAGCAGCCACCTGGACTGCACTGGGTCAGCCTCAAAGCTTCAACTGGACAGGTGGGGCCTCATTTTGGCAGAGTCAGGCAGCAAAGTGACGGTAAGAGGCGGTGCTGGGTGCAGCAGGGCCTGCAAAAGGTGAGATGGCGGTGGCTGCAGGCTCATCCTGTTTGAATCCCATAGGCAACACAACCTGGAGAGCCGCACACATACCAAGACCACCCCACACTGGGATACAAGAGGTCCCACCCTGCCTGCCTGCTTGGGCACACGAGGCTCCAGCCAGTTCCGAGGTAACCCTGGAGAAGAGCACGCACTTCACATGTGCTCCTCTTTACGCCTCACAGCACCAGATGCAGCAGGAGCTCATCAGAAAACGGTTGGTCTCTGACAGGTAACACGCAGCTGAAACGGCAAATGCACTACAGACGTAGGTTTCCCTCTGCCTCATCCTGCTCCTCCACAAAATGAGCCAGTGCCCGCACAACATCCTGACAGTGCCTGCTGCGGTGCGTACGCTAAGTGATGGCGACTGTCATTAGTGTTAAGGGGGGCTGAGGACAGAATCAGCTAACAGGTCACCTTATAAGGAAGGAACAAAGGACCAAATAGGGGGAGAAAAAGCAGCCAATTTTTAATATAAATCAAATAAGATATTTACTACTTGATACTCCCACAGAACGGGGAAACGGTCTTACTGGTTTTTGTGTACGACTGTTGTCTCTTGATGTGTATGCACACAAATATCTATTTTCATCCTTTTCCATTTTTCAAATTTCTACTATTACTATTTTTTAAAAACTGGGTTTCATTCTGTTGCCAAGACTGCAGTGTAGAGATTATAGCTCACTGCAGACTCCAACTCCTGGGCTCAAGCAATTCTGCCTCAGCCCCCTGAGTAGCTGGCACCACTGGCATGCGCCACTAGACCTGGCAAATTTTTTTGTAGAGATGCGGTCTCACTTTATTGCCCAGGTTGGTCTCAAACTCCTGGCCTCAAGAGATCCTCCCACCTCAGCATCCTAAAGTGGTGGTATTGATTACAGGCATGAGCCACCGTGCCCAGCCTTCTCTACTTTTTATATAAATGTAGTAAACTGTACAGGACACACTGTTCAAAACCTTGCTTTTATTTTCTTTACACAAAATATCTAGGAAATCATTCCTTAGCAACACAGAAGATCCTTGAAGAATGTCATTTTGTTCAACATCTTTTTGTTATAATGTCTATAAGAAAAATCGATTCTGGTCAGGACCACTGTCTGTGTGGAGTTTGCATGTTCACCCCATGTCTATATGGGTTTTCTCTGGGTAATGAGGTTTCTCCCCACATCCCAAAGATGTGCACATTGGCAAGTGGGCATGTTTAAATGGTCCCAGTGTAAGTGCACCCTGAGATGGAATGGCGTCCTGTCCAGGACAGGTTCCTGCCTTATGCCTGGAGCTGCTGGGATAGCAGGCAAACAGGTGGAAGAACCAGTCACCTGTTTGCCACAACTCGACATTTCTTGCAAATCGTCACGCAACCTTTTCAAAACTTCCAGATAAAAACTGGTTGACCATTTGAACAGGAGGAACAAATTTTGACTGTGTTACAAGGGGCCCACCCTCCAAAGGAGAATTCTGTTTTGGGGGGGATTCCCCCCTCAGACAGCCCACAACTCCCAACTGCTATTTCTTGCTCCATTCCTAAAAACTTTCTCAATGGCCAGAGCTCCCCTAACCCCTCACTGAAGGGTACAGTCTTGAGATGGGGTGGTGGAATAAGATGATGGCGGGGCAACAGGGGGTGAAAATTATCTTATTGTTTTGATGATGTATTTTTTATTTGTCTTGTCTGGATCTCATCTTCAAAAAAGAAGGTATCAACTTGTCTTGATGGGTGGGGACTGGTGAACTACTATAAGCTACTCAGGAAACACCCCTAAGTAACTTACAAGGATCCTCACAAACCTAGCTAGGTTAGTGGTGTGGCCAGACTAAGAAAGTAATCAGGTAAGGTCTGAAATTCAACGACTGTCACAGAATGGCACTTCTGATAAGACAGAATACCGGTGGTTATGTTCTTACTCTAGATAAGTAGTCCTTTCAAAACCTTATTTATTAATCTGCATGGCAAATCATGTTTTTTTCCCTGTACTATACAAGTTTATTATGAAAACTGAGACAAACACATGTGAAAGAAAAGAATAAAACCAGTCTATGATAATGCATCCCAAACTGTACATGAAATGTCACCAAATACAAAGAAAGGGGGCGATCAACTAGGATCATCGGGGAAAACTCCTTGATGTAATGACTGAAGACAAACCACTATTTTTTTTT